TATCATGGTATTTAAGTTTTGATTTACATAATTTTCTGGTAAAATCAATTTTTAAAATTAAATAATTAAAAATTGTATTATAAATACACCAAAAATATAAAATATTTCTTATTTTTTTATAGTTCTAATTATTCTTGTCTTTTAAATATTAAAATGTTCCCTACATCAAATGGGGTATAGATCTGGTGTATATTAATAGGCTCGCACATGGGCCCAGGGGACCAATATGAGATTAGGGTTTCCAAGTGTCACCGAAGGTTTATATTGGGTCATTGAATATCATCTTGGGTTAAAAAAGCTTAGAGGGGTTTTACACTAATCAGGGGCCTATCAACCCGCTATTTATTGGGCCCAAAGATACTGGCAAGCCTAGCTTAATGTATCACACGTGGAAAATTTGAGTCTCCGTCACTTATAAAAGTGCACTGTTTGTTGAGGCCCAGCAAAAAATCTCTAGTCAATGATGAATAAGTGACTTTCTCAAGTCCAATTGTTCAGTACCCATATATGATAGAAGATCAGGCTCTCTCATATGGAAATTATATTTGATGTTATTTAAAGTTTATTAAGGTTTGATTTAGTAATTATGATTTAATATTATTTTTTTAGTATCTTAAATTTATATTATCTTTAAGTATTGTTTCAAATAAAATAAAATATCTAGATTTATTAGATACTTTATCATCTTTTTTTTTTATTATGGTTTGATTTAAATTTAAATTTATTATTATTTTTTGAGATCTATAAATAGCTCTAGGATTCTTTATTTGTATTTGGTTTTGGCATTTTGAATAGAGTTATGCAGTTTTATCTCTCATTTTCCCTTTTCTCTTTCACTGCCCTCCCCTTTCCTCTTTCGCGTTTCATATCAGTGTGATTATTAAATGGCAGGTCTCAAATTAAAATTAGAATTTCTCGCGAGTTCAACATATAATCTTATATTTGGCATTGTGGATAGTGAATAATAAAAAACAATGCAAATCACACGAAGCATTTGCGGTTGGCATTAACTTATACAGGCGAGAGAACAGAGAAAGATTACTTTTTCAGATTTGGTGTAGGGATGGCTTATAGGGCTGTTTGAGGACACAGATAGTGCCCAAGAGACCTGCAAGAGACATATGAATGATAGATAATGAAGACCATATTTAGCTTTGGTTCTGTATAGTCGCGAGTGACCAAAACGGAAATACGTGTACAATAAAGCCCATGGCGATAAATATATCTCTGAAACCACAAGCCACGACTCTATATATGTTGCTTTACTAATATACACCCACTCCAGAAAATTCTCATCCCCCAACAAATGTCAAACACATAATATTGTGTTAGAATAATTTTGTTCCATCATTCCGCATGACTCCTTTCACCGCCGCCACCCAAAATGTTTCAAACCTACAGATCATGTAATCATCGTGGCTTTGAAAGAAACTAATTGTTAATTATTCTTTAACTATTATTTTATTCACATGTTGCTATATTGGAGGTATATATGCCCCATCATGTCCCGGGCTAGTGTATTTGCATCCACTGTAAATGAACAGCCAACATTTTAATTAATAACAAAAAATCACATTCAATAACTACTTAAAGAAATTACTTAAATAAAATAATAATGTGACTTTCCCTTTTTGAATCTGTAAATAATTTTTTAAAGTAATTCTTAAATATAATTCTTCCTTTGCAACAATTTGACCCTTGGATTATGTGTGTGTCACTCACTGTGCATCCTTTTATGCTAGATTTTTTACGTGTAGAAATAGACAAACAACCTTTTCTTCAAATCTAAAAACACAGGTAGACAATGGTTGTCATTTGTCAACTTCTTAATTTAGATTATCTCAGGTTCAAATGATATCTGTTTGTTGCTATAATAATCGAATCAAAGGATATACTAGATGAGCAAGCATTTAGGTGGGCCCCACCTTCCACTAGCTGCGCGATTGGCTCGTGCGGTTAGGGCCCGGCATCTGAGGCCACACATGTGTTGCCGTATGATTGGTGGTGCACGGCACGGATCAAGATAACACATAAACTACTGCCTCTTTTTCCAGTAATGAAGAGCTTTTGCTTCGTGCGTGGATGACCCAAGCCAAGACAAGGAGGAGCGCATGATTGATAGAAGAAGAAATGATGGAGGGCATGTCGGTAAATCCAGAGTCTAACCAACTTTTAATTGTTGAATATAGCATCCATTCAGGTAGATTTTTTTTGGCTCACTCAGGGGACACGGTTGTGACACCAGGGCCCCCTATTCGTATATCAAGCTAGCTTCCCTTTATTAGTTATGAACGTATTTCTCAGATGCGGATTTTTCATTCTTTCAACAATTCTTTCTTATCATTCTAATATTTAAAATTAGATTTGTGACTTTAATTACAAGAACATTGGTTAGGTGCTAATAATTGCTTAGTAATGGGAGAAGTCAAGATGGCCAGAGCTGCACCAAATCTCTGAACCAGCCGAGAACAATGTAAGCTTTTTTCCCCCCTTGTTTTTTCCGGCCCAATCTAAAGAGAGCTATTTTCCACACTTTTTCTGCATTGGGTGACTTAAGCAGGCGGGCGAACAAAAGGAGTAAAAGAGAACACGTGAAACTTTTATATATATATATATATATATATCAGCAACTAGAACAGTGTAACTTAAAAATAGAAAATAGAAAGCGAAATACCACCGTATAATATAATTAGTGCTATAAATTCTGAAAAACCCCACCTTTAATGGGTGCAAACCTTTTGTGTCCTAGAAGCATGTGTATATATAGAATCGTAGATGTAGTAAAGATTACACATTTCATGTTTTCGTGGCAGGCATGATGTGAAGAATTAAGAATGGAGGGCAGAGATGTGGTAAAGGTGGAGGATGAGTGAGTGCCCGGGAGAGTGGTGGCAGGTTGATGAGACAGTGTCAGCGAGCTGGGTAACAAAGTGGGACCCTCACACATAACATTTTAACACTTCCTTTGACCCTTATATTATATTCCTTCTCATTCCATTTATTTGGTAGTTTTTAAAAGGTTTGTTTAATTTTATTTATATGTCATGATACAGTTTTTTAAATATGTTTAAAATTATTTTTTATAAAAAAATTAATATGATATTATTTTTTAAATTTATTACATAAAAGCATATTTTAAATTTGGCAGGTATTGTAATGTGAAGAGGACAGATGGGTACAAAAGAGAGGGGAATGTGGCAGGCTGTGCACGCACCAAAGGCATCTTTGTCTGCAACGCCCATGTCTGTCCCTTAATCATGTATCTCCATTTTCTCTCTCTCTTTGAATGCAAATTTCAAATTCAGAAAACTTGCATTGCATGCCACCATCATTCGCGTTTCTAGAACCACACGTGTTTGGGGTACATTCATATTCACTCATCACTGCATGCATGGCCACCAGGTATTTTAATCATTTGAATACTTGGATAAACACCTGTTAATAACCATCCACACTGATAAAAGTTAATCCAATTGATAATACTACTCATTTCAAAGATAGATATGTGTGTGTGTGTGGATTTTATAGATAGAACTCATTATCACGTGATCGATACGTTTTGAGCTTTGAAACACACTAAATTTTATTGAGCACCTGAAATTTAAAAAAAAATCTCCTAACATATTTTTGTTTGTTTAATTTTTCCAAAAAAGAAAACATCCGCAAAAAAGTGTGGCCCCTGATCAACAGTCCATCGTTAATTTCTACCACTAAACATTAAATTAGCAAAGATAAAGGACTGGTCTGGGCAAGTGTGATCACATAAGTCAACGAGTGGGTTACACTTTATTAGAATTTTGAGATAATTAACAATGATCATATGATTACATATTTACAAAAAGCATGGTGGTTTTAATTAATTGCATTTTGATTTTGTTGATCCCAAAAAGTAAAGACACATTGGTGAGCCGCCTTTCAACAAGAAATTAGGATCAAATTGTACTCCATACTCTAACAGTCATGAAACCTGAACATTCTGATTTTGATTTTGTTGATCCCAAAAACACCTTGTTGAGAAATAAACCATCTAGCTAATAAGCCAACGTTCAACAAGACATTAGAATGAAATTATCTACACGACAGGTCAATCACATGAAATCCTACGCAGGGAATATATATATATATTTTGTTATTCTTTCCTCAAGTTCTGCATTACGTTAATCGATCTAGCTAGCCGCAGGGTCTCCCCCCGGCTTGTTTTAAATCAAACAAATGTCAACCGATGAATTCTATTATGTATGTGGTTGTACTAATTAATTCACACACACACAAAACACATTCTAGCTAGTGGTTATTTCAATGTTAAACACGTTTGTACGCTGATAGTATCTTTTGCTTATAAGTATGAAAGCAGGAAGTCGCGCAACTGACACAAACCAAAATTCCATATAGCAGATTATATATTCACACAGAGAAAACCAGTTTTAATTTGTTGAAAATGTGAAAGCAAATAAAAAAAGAAAGCCAGTGGTAATCTTCATGTAATGATTCATTTTCACTCTGAATTAACCATTATTAATTTCTTATGCGCTTTTTCCGGAGTACAGAAGCATAATTATATATATGCACTTGGAAAATTTTAACAAGAAAAAATAACCGTGTCTTCAGCCAACCAAAAGATGCAGGCAACTTAATAAAGACAGCCTGTAATAATGAGAAATTAAACGAAGAAAGGAAAAAGTAAAGAAAAGAAGAGAAACAGAGACACGTTGGCAGATATAAAAAGCTCGAAAAATAAGCTAATAACAGTGGTTATGAAGCTAATTTGGTAGGTTTAAATCACCTAGTTTGTGGACCATCCGACATAGGTGGTCTCAACTCTCAACCAATGTCAGAAGAGCTCGACGACAAACAACTTTGTTAATTGGTTCAAACCACATCCGTTTAGTTGGTCCAAGAACTTTTTTTTTTTTTTTGAGCAAAAAGGTTGGTCCAAGAACTAAAAGATAATAACTGAAGTGTTTATGCGTTATGTGTGGGTATGTGAATATATATGTAAGCCATGGATAGTTTTGCAGTCTCACTCCCACAACCCAAATGCTCTCTCTCTCTATCTATCTTTCATATCCTCTGATTAAAGGTTCAAAAAGCAGGCAAAATAAGGAGTCATGAAGGCAACAGTAAGGTACTTGGCAGGAATCGCTGGCCCTAGCGGTTTTGGCTCTAATTCCACCGCTGAACAAGTTACTCAACACTGTTCTCCAATTCTTTCTTCCCATCTCACCGTTCTCATTACTGGTAAATCCCAATCCTGTATATGTTCTCTCTAAGCGCAGGCCTAGCTACCTTCTAATCATAAAAAACTCGTCATCTTTTTTCCCAGTTTTCTTCATTTGGATTAATCTGATGGAAGGTTGCTCGAATTTAATTACATCCGCGAAATTAGCCAATTTTGATGTCATAAATTTCAAGCTTTCTCAGTATGGGTACATGTATGTGGCGATTCTTTTGGTCGCATCAAGATATATGGTTTTGTCTCTTTTGCACAGACGACGTACTTTCTCTCATTGGTTGAGCTTAGATATCGATCACCTCATCTGCGACCGATAAGGCAGAAACTTTTCTCCCTAAAAAAGATCTCAGGGCCCATTTTCTTATGGTTTATCCCCTAGAATTCATTATCGACAAACAGAAGGAATGAATGATAGAATCTCAAGGACATGTATACGGTAGCACGTGATATATACCTTAATTAACTAGTAGTGTTGATCTGAGATAATATTTGAAGGGGCGACTTCTGGAATTGGAGCTGAAACGGCGAGAGTGCTGGCGAAGAGAGGAGTGAGAGTAGTGATTGGTGCGAGGAACATGAAGAAGGCAAGCGAAGTGAGAGAGAATATCCTGAAAGAGAGTCCACATGCTGAGGTTATATTGCTGGAGATTGATCTCAGCTCTTTCGCTTCCGTCCAGAGATTTTGTTCCGAGTTCTTGGCTCTAGATCTTCCGCTTAACATTCTTATGTGAGTCTCTCATCATTTCTTTACATTCATGGGCATGCATCTATATAAATTTATCAGTCTCTGGGAGAGTAATTGATGAATAACATATCAATTTTACAGAAACAACGCAGGGATATACTCTCAGAACTTGGAGTTCTCCGAAGAGAAAATTGAGATGACATTTGCAACAAATTACCTAGGTATACTTATCTTTCTCAGAGATCTTTGTCTCTTTTAAAGCCCACTGGTTACATCTTTGACAATCACTGATTCAGCATGTAAGTCCGCCAGATGTTACCAACTCCGATCCTCTTTTCAATCCTTAACGCACACGCACGCACACGGAAACAAAGTCAAGAGAATCATTGCATTACTTCAAACATAGGGCCCCAGTCACCACGCTTCGTTGTGGGTGGTACTATTCACGGGTCTTTTCATAATTTGCTTCTATGCCCTTTGAATTAATGACTCGCTAGAAAATAAGAATCTCAATGCTCCTCAAATGCCACGGGTGTTATAAGAAAAAAGGTTCAATTCGTACTCACAATTAATCTTGCATTAATTTATAACAATCCTATTGCTGAAGTGATTTCTCGTAAGAGATGTTATCTTTTTCTTTTAGTTTTAAGTGGGGACACCGTAAATTAAGATTAAAGCAATTACATGATTATTAGTCAAAGCAATTAAAGCAAATACAACAATTATGCAACAGCGATTGAAACCTTCAAGCGGGTCGATCGAGTGAGTTGGCGTCGTTTTTATTAGGCAATCCCTCAAAAGAGAGAGAGAAAAAAGTTGGTTTACTTTTTTTCTTTAGGTTTCATATAGGTCCGCGAATATGAGATGGGGGACAGTGATTTAACATTCATTAAGGTCCACAAATTCCCAGCACTGGGCATGAGATAATCGCTCAGTGGCCGGTTTCTAAAGTGAAAATTAGCAGAGAAAAGAACTTAAAAAAAATAAAGTCGATAACTTGACATGATTATGCACCAAAAAAATGAAATAACTTTTTGATAATTTGTTTAATGCAGGTCATTTCTTGTTGACGGAAATGCTACTGGAGAGAATGATAGAAACAGCAGAGAAGACTGGCATTGAAGGAAGAATAGTAAACGTGTCTTCAATGATTCATAGTTGGGTTAAAAGAGATGCCTTTCAATTCAAGGACATGATTAACGGAAGAAAGTACAACTACAAGGACTTATCTGCAAAGTTATACTCTCTTTTTGTTGCATTAGGTTAATTTCGATATCTAACTTTTCTTTTCCAATAACAAACAATGCAGCTATAATGGCACGCGTGCGTACGCCCAGTCAAAACTGTCCAGCATTTTGCATGCCAAGGAAATAGCCAAACAGCTAAAGGTAAACGAAAAATCAAAATCCAGTTTAATTACTCGGGAGCTAGAAGCTCAAGTTTTGATAAACCTTTAAATATGTGATGTTTGAAAATGAAATGTGAACGCTACGTGCAGGCAAGAAATGCAAGAGTAACTATCAATGTGGTCCATCCGGGCATTGTGAAGACTGCAATTATGAGAGCTCACAAGAGTCTGATAACAGGTTTTTAATTTCCTAAAGTGCAATAAAATTTCGGAGATTTGTTATTTCATCAAAAACTGAAAACTTCCACGCATGCAGATTCCTTGTTTTTCATCGCATCCAAGTTGCTCAAATCGACTTCTCAGGTTTGTAAACAAATAAAGTTGTCGCGCACATTTAAAGGAGAATAAAAAAAATCAAAGCCGAACATGCTATAAAACAAGGTATAATTAACAGAAAAGTATGACCCAATGTGTTGAATGCAGGGAGCAGCAACGACATGTTATGTTGCTCTGAGCCCACACACAGAAGGGGTGAGTGGGAAATACTTCTTAGACTGCAATGAAAGTAGCTGTTCTAGTTTAGCCAATGACGAATCTGAAGCTCTAAAGCTATGGAACAACACACGTTCCCTCCTTCACAAACGATTATTACGTCAAGCTGCAGTTTAGTCTGACCTCCCATATTTCACCTAAATATATTTAATTTGTGCATGTATCATATATCACCTCATAATAAGGGGTTTTGAACTGGATCCCAGCAATGATAAATAGATTGTATATTCTACAAACAGTGTCTTGAATAGATTGTATATTCTAGATACAGGGCGGAAGAGAGATTTTGAGGAAAATAAACTTCATATTTTGGCATTGTTGCTGTACTTGTTCATTTTTTCCGCGTCAAAACCAACTGTTATATTTCTTCTTTTCTAGTGCGAACGTCTTTGCAGCGCCTTCAACGAACATATTTTTTCGTGGGCCATGATCGTTTTGACTCAAAATCATTTATAAGCCCGAGCAGCTCAGTACAGCTTCAGCAAGCGGCCTGTTTCGACTGACAGAGCCTATTATCAAAGATCAAGCACGTTCCTGTCCAGAGAGTAGCAAATCTATGGGGCTTTGCCTTTTGTTTCATTAAAGTTCATTAGATTGTTATTTTTTAAAAAAAGTTTGCAAGGACGTCCGTGTGTCGGTATAGGACCGTTTCAACTTATTTTATGAAAAAATTGCTTATTTTTTTTTTAAAATCAATTTTTGAGTTTTCACGAGATTTGTTTAAATTTTTAAAAATAAACAAAAATTCAAAAAAAAGAATATTTTTAATTGTTTTAAGAAGTTACTCTATAGATAAGAAAAAGTGTTTTAAAAAGGTGGGATACGTGAAAGATATCATAAAATTTTAAAATAATAAAATAATAAATTATTTTTATAAAATAAACATCAAGAAATATATCATAAAATTTAAAAATCAATAACTAATAATATTTTTTTGTAACCAGACATAAAATAATATTTATTTTTTTATATAAAACCTTTACAAAATAAATATCTTTAATTTTTATAAAATCTCTAAACTATCTTAAATTTACGTATTTTTTAATTTTAAATAAACGAGCCCACCATAACTAAGATAAGATTAGTCTCACCTTCTTTGTCATATTCAATTATTCATACAACTTTCAACTTCCAGCGCTTGATCGGTTTTATTAAATTCGTTAATTTAGTCATACAATTATATTAAATTTTGTAATTCAATGCATCCTGACCAACTGTGAATTAACAATAATTAAATGAATTTGCTTTGAGCGCACGAAAGAGTTTCTTTCTTTTTTTTTTTTTAAAAAAGTCATTACTTGAAAGTATTCATTTTGATCCTAATTATATGATATATTATCCTATGCGCGTTTGTGAATACAAATGGGTAATTAATTACTTAATTTGAGCTGGTCAAAGTCCAACACCGCCCGTCATGTTCTCAGGACGTAAGAGCCAGGCAGACAGTGATGGATATATACTATAAAAAGTCATGAATATCTTGTATCTTAATGTCAGCTAGATTATGTAGAAATAACAATTCGCTCACTCAATATATTATACTTGTATTTTGGCCCAATGATTTAGATTTAGATCTAGATTATGGTAGGAGAGTGAAGAAAAGATGGAGAGACGACATTTGGAGGAGCAATTTAATCTGTCTAAGTCAAACGAGTGTTTACGCTTAATTTATTAGAATGAGATAAAATTATGTTTAGATATACTATACTTAAATGTGGAGCAATTCGATGAATTCTTCCGGGCAAACCCCCCAAAAAACGATGAATTCTACATTCATGCAGCAGGTGGTTATACTAATTAATTAACATTAATTCTAGGGGTCACTTTCAAAGGGTTAATTTGGAAATTGGAATAGATTTTAAGACTTTCCTATCTCTTCGTCGTGAACCCAAGAATATTAAGGAGTGTTTTGAATATCCATGCACCGAAGATTTGAGATTGATAGAAGGTCATTGAGTAATTAAGCTGATATTCACCCATTTCCCGCGGATTATTATATATTCACACAAAGAGAACTGTTCTAATGCAAAGCAAACGCATCCAACAACAGTTAATGAAGGCCCGTAAACCATCGTATGTGTATATGTGTACGCTCGCTCTCTCTCTCTCTCTCTCTCTCGCTCTACACACACACACACACACAAGAGCAAATATCACAGCCTCAAACAAAAACGCCTTAGGAAAAATCATCATAAGCTAATGACCAGATGGTAACCCGGGTAATTATATGTGCGCTTGAAAACATTAACAAGAATAGAAAGAATGCAGAAACTTTTTGTCACCTAAGTTTGTTTCACTTGGTCCCTTAAATTTAATTTTTATAATTTATTCCTTTAAGATTGTCTCACTTATAACAGCAATGAAAATTGATGAAAAAAATGTAATTAGTTATGTACGCAGGAATAAAACATATTGGTATTAAAAAATAAATTAAAAGAACAAAATACAGTATAAGAGATTATATATTGATAAAAATTGAACTAATTTGAGGATTAATTTATTGTCATTTAACTACATATACATATAAACACCAAAAAAATTGATTTTCAAAAACTTTTAGTGGCGACAAAAAATAGCATGTTACGGCGAGAGCTCTTATCACTGATTCTATTTGTGATAACAATAAAAGTCGTTGTTGAAAGTTGAAAATCAGCAATGACAAATGTCACCACAGAAGGATAGTCGTCATTGAAAGTTACAAATTTGTCGCTGTAGAAACCACACATCAGTATTGACTATTTAGTTACTATTGAATGTGAAGTATTAGCAGTATCTTTTCTATTGCTGCTAAAAAATAATATTAGTTTTACCAACCTCCACGTGGAGCCGCATCACCCCTCCACGTGGCGCCTCCATCTCACACTACGTGTCATCATGTCACAAATTTATTTAGTTATATTTTTATTTCATAAGTTGCTTCTTTCAAAGTTTGAACTCATAACCTTTTACTTTTATGTTTCACCATTTTGCCACTGAGCTATAATAAACTTGCAATTTATTACTACATAATTAAAATATATATATATATATATATATATTATATTAAACTATGCAAACACACACAAACATATTAAATATTATAAAATCTCATTATTATTATTAAATAATTTTATTTAATTCTTTTAATTTGTTCAAATTGCAAATTGTATTACTTATTTTGTTTAAAGTAAACAATAGATATAGTTGATACAATATCATTTGTATTATTTATTTTAATTTTTTTACTTCTTGATGTTATTATATTATTTATTTTAATGTTCATATTTATGATTATAATATAAAAAATATCTAAGGATAAATAGTAAAAATATAGATGATTATACATTAGTTCATATGTAATTGGGTTGTTTTCACATATAAACTTTACTTTTTTAATTAGTTTTCATTTTTAAATTATAATTTTATAAGAAAATTATACACTATATTATCTAATTTTTTTATATTTATGTCGCAAGACAGCATCAAATAAAAAAAATCATATAACATCATATACATAGATATATTTCATATATTGTAAAAGTTAAAAGTAAAATTTTAGAATATCTCATTTTTTTCTTTTTATCTTTCTCTTTCATATCATTAGCCATCAAATTGGGAACATCTAAACCGATATCGATCTTTAAAGTTACTAGTATTAAATGTAAAATTTAAATTTAAAAATTACATTAGATGAAATATCATTCTATGAATGAATAAATTTAGCCATTACATCTCTAATTATTATAAATAAATAGTGTTATTATTTAAAATATCAATTTAATTATAAAACATTTGAAAATATAGACTCATTACCACATTATATGCATTCCAAATTAAAAAAAATTAAATATTAGATTTTTGAATGAATTTATAACTTCACATGAGGATATGCATTAGTCAATTCAAAATGGCCTAAATAGTTGTATTAAATCAAACCAAACATTACTTGATAATAACAATTGACGTAAAATAATATAATTTGGCTTAATTCTTTACTCTGACTCATTAACATTAAATAATACCTTAACATTATCTTAAAAAAATTTGATTGTTTTAAAGTTATAATTTAACCATAAAATATATTAAATAAAAACTCATTATGTTATCGTATATATTCATTGTAAAATTACAACAATACAATAAAATTAATATCTTAAAAAGTTAAATATTAGATTAAACAAGAATAAAAAATAATGTTGAAAATATAAAACCAATAGTGTCGCCGCTAAAAGTGAAACTTTCAACGGTAACTTTTTGAATCACTGCTGAAACTTATAACATATTTATTATAACATTAGTTTTTAAGAAATTATAATATATTTTAAAATATGTTGACAATTCACAGTAACTCTAATTGTCAGCTTTCATAAGTTGCCGTTAAAACTTATAACATATTTATTATAATATTAGTTTTTAAAAAATTATAATACATTTTAAAATACTTCTATATCATTGCTAAAACTTAGACCTTCGGCGATGACATTTACTTGTCATTGTTGAAAGTCTAACAATCAGCGATGACTATATATTGTCACCCTAAAAAGTCACCCTTTCAACGGCGACTTTGAATATTGTTGCATAAAGTTAAACTTTCAGCAGTCACTTTTGTTGCCACAAATTGTTCATTTTCAACAATGACTTTTTAGAGTTGTTGCTAAAAATTGCCACTGAAAGTTTTGTTTTTTGTAGCAAAAGTCATCAAAATACTTTATATAACATCTTAAATTTTAACCTTGGGATTAAATTGAGGATTTGTATTTAATCAAGGTGAATTGGGGATAATTAGTTATTTAGGCACGTGATATAACTTAATTTAGGCTAAGGTTGATGATTGAGGTTGTTTGGTTGGATTTGGGCCTAAACATATGGGCGAGAGATGGAGGTCCATCTCGGTACCATACATTATGACACACACACATCAAATTTTAAAATCCATATTCAGACGTGACAAATAGAAACAAAAGGGAGAAAGTTGAGAAGGTTGGTGTACAATGGAGGTGCTTTGTTGGGGTTTGACAAAGGATAGTGATTATGCACAAATTTGGCTCCCTGATAGCTCAAGGTAACATATCTAACATTTTTCCTACCCTCTAATCTTCATTTTAAGTAGTTCTTATGATGAAAATGGCTAGGGTTTGCACTTGTGGGAGATCCCAGCCATGGGTTTGGATTTTTTGGAGTGTTTGAGGATAACTAAGTATATATTTGATGATTTTGGTGATAGTCAATGTGATGGTTGGGTGATATTTGAAACCTTAGAGTTATTTTATGAGGCTGAGCTAATAATAGTGTTGATTAATGATTTAAAGGTTAAATAAGTTATGTTTAATTCTAATGATGATGAGAATGATTAAATTTGATGGGTTGTTGTATGAAAATATGTTCGGGATAATGAGGTTAATTATTTTAACCATAAGGTTAAGGTGTGATTATTGTTTAATTACAAGTGAGAACACTTGTGAGAGGAAGGTTGCTTACAAAAAGCAAATATAACTTCTACTTTTATATTATGATGTGTGTTATAAGGTGATTGGTTAGATGTGTTCAATTGAAAGAAATTGATGTTTGAAATATTATGTTCGGAAAAATGTATTGTTAGTTGGGTGAAAAATTTTATATGAATATGTTTAATATGAAACTATTATATTTGAAAGTATGTTTAATTGTTTAGAAATTTTTTATGCATGACTTGTTTAGAAACCTTTTATGTATAACTTGTTTGGGTTTGGGATGAAAAGTGTGGGGTTTATTTTGTGCAAATTACCACATAGTATGCTCTTAATTGGATGCAACAAGTGGCATGTAGAGTTTGGACTGCTTTACTTTTGATCAAGTGAATAGTACTAAGTGTGGACTACAGTCAAGAAAAAAAGAAGGAGATAGGGTTGGTAGACATGCATTATTGTTTGGAATTTGCAACTTTTAATTATAAATTTGTTTCTTAATTATCATGGTAGTTTTTTTTTGTTTATGGAAGGACTTTGAAATATTATTTTTTACCCTAGTAGAGTTTATGAAAATAAGTTTTTATTATTATTTTTGAATAAAAAATAAGTTTTTGCTTTATATATATTATCATGGAAATTTTTTTTTATCATGTGTTTAATAAGTTGAAGTTTTTATTAATAAATCATTTATCGAGGAAAAATCAGTTTTCAGTTTTAGAGTATTATAGTTTACATATCAGATTAACTAATTTCAGAGTCAATTTACATTTTAAAATTTAAAAGAGACTAGCATGATATATAATTGAAGAAAATATATGAGATTAAATTGATAAAAATTAAATTTAAAGAACCAAATTAATAAAATTTAAATTTAAAAAATCAAATTGATGTTTGAAACAAATTTAATCAAAAATTAAAAGTTTTATTATCTCATAATAAATGCCGTTTAAGAATGACATTCTATAATTACGAGATCATGAAACGGGGAAAGAAGGCAAAAAAGGAACACATGTTGGCAGATAAATAAAAATCCAGAAAATTCTGGAAAAAAATAAAATTCAGAAAATGTGCAAAAAGTAAACATAAGCTCTTTGGCCAAGTTAGAATTAACAATCCACTCAGGTTGGTCCAAGGACTAAATAATCATAGCTACCATGTTTACCCATCATGTGTGTATTTAAATACTCCTTTCATCTTAAATTATAAAATATTTTTTAAAAATTTTTTTATCCCAGAATATAAAATATTTTGTATAAATTAAAGTTTCATTAAATATATCAATTTTAATATCATAATTTCTCCCTCTATAATTAATTTCTGTCATTTCTCTTTTCAATATATTAAATGATGAGTACTTTTAAAAGTTTATATTTTTATTTTAGAAAGATAAGGTTGTTGAGTATATTTAATGAGGTTTATTAGTATGTGAGATTTTATTTAAAAGTGTCATATAATTTAGAATGGGGAGAGAATAAAATATTTTTTGAAGGATTAAATATTAAAAAATGTAAAATTAGTATTCAAGATATAATTAATGTATTTTTTTAAAGCAACTCTAATAAATAAATTATTTATATTTATTTTAAAATAAAAAACTATATTAAATAAGGATAATGATGAATAGATAGATTATTTTGAAAATAATTAACCATTTTATTGGAGAATAATATTCAAATAAAAATACATTATTACTTGAAAAAATAACAATAAAATCTCTCCAAATTATAGAAATAATAATTTAATCTCTTAAAATATTATAATTTTAATAAATTTTTTAGGGATCTTTTTATCAATAACTTTTTTAGTGAAAAGATTATTTTACACTTACTAAAAATAACGATCACAACTTTTATTTAAGAAACCGCAACTTATATTATGTAAATTAAAAATTTGAATAATAAATCATAATTTGTTAAGTGTAATTTCTGTTATTTAAAAAGCTTCAGTTATAATTTTTACTTGAAGAATAACAACTTTTGTTGCATGAATCATAAGAGTTAAATAAGAAATCATAATTTATTAAGTATAATTTATATTATTAAATAACAAGTTCTTAAAATAAAAAACTTTGTTATGATTTATGTTTAAAAAAGCATGATTTTTTAAAAAAAATTACAAGAATTAAATAAGAAATAATAAATTATCAATAATAGTAAAATGATATTTTTAATTTAAAATTTATTAAAAAAAGATTTCTAAAAACTTTAATAGAATTGTAATATTTTGAGAGATTAGATTGTCATTTATATAATTCAAACAATTTTATTATCATTTTTTTAATTATTTTGAAAGGAGAACCATGCGTTATGTATATAACCATGGTTATTCTTGCAGTCTCACAACCCAAATGCGCTCTCTCTCTCTCTATCTTTCATATCCTTTGATTAAAGGTTTCAAGCAGGCAAGGTAAAGGACTAAGGAGCTATGAAGGCGAAAAGCGGTTTTGGCTCTAATTCCACCGCCGAGCAAGTTACTCAACACTTTTCTTCCATGCCTCCCTCCCATCTCACTGCTCTCATTACTGGTATATCTTCTCTCCCAGCGCTGTCCATGCATGCCTTCTAATCATCAGAAAATTGTGTCATCCTTCTTTTCGTTTTGTTTGTGGATTTTGATGGATCGCTTCTCGAGTTTGCATCGCTAAACCAGTCAATTTTCATGTTGAAATTTCAAGCTTTCTCATCGGTATGAATGAATGCATGATGAGCATATACGTGTCGATTCTTTCGGCCGTAGCAAGCCATGGTCTTCTTTCTTTTATCTGTACATACGTACTTTCTCTCATTGATTGAGCATAGATATCGATCACCTCATCTGCGACCATCGACGCAGAAACTTTTCTCCCAAAAAAAAATAAAAATCTCAGGGCCCATTTCCTTATAGTTCATCCCCTCAGATTCATCATCGACAAAGAGAAGGAATGATAGAATCTCAAGAATATGTATGCATCTTAACTATATGGTGGCACGTAACAAAGACCTTAACTAATAGTGTTGATCTGAAATAATATTTGAAGGGGCGACCTCTGGAATTGGAGCTGAAACGGTGAGAGTGCTGGCGAAGAGAGGAGTGAGAGTAGTGATTGGTGCGAGGAACATGAAGAAGGCAAGCGAAGTGAGAGAGAATATCCTGAAAGAGAGTCCACATGCTGAGGTTATATTGCTGGAGGTTGAGCTCAGCTCCTTTGCTTCCGTCCAGAGATTTTGTTCCGAGTTCTTGGCTTTAGATCTTCCGCTTAACATTCTCATGTGAGTTTCTCGATCATCATTTCACTACATTAATTCGTGGACGACACGCACTTATATCATTCCTGATCTGTTATATAGAGTTCTTGAACGCACCAATTTTGCAGAAATAATGCAGGGATTTACTCTCCCAAGTTGGAGTTCTCTAAAGATAAAATTGAGATGACCTTTGCAACAAATTACTTAGGTACGTACATTTACTTCTCTGTCTCAGAGATCTTGTCTCCTTTTCATGCCTGTATTGACTTGAAATTTAAAGCCCAATACTTCGTGAGTGTTTGGTTTTCTGGGGAAGGAGTGAGAGGGAAGTTTTCTTTGGGGATGTTAATGGATGATTTATTTCTTGTTAAACCAAGCATTCTAATTTCTAATTGATGGGCTTGTTGTTGTAAAAATCATCCGGGAAAATAAAATTAGGAACAGGAAAATAGAAGCAGTGCCCTGTGTGCCTCTTATCCAAACTTCCCACACCAGAAAAGTGGGAAAGTACTTCCCAAAAATTGGAAATTGTCAACGCATACAAGGCCTACATCTTTGAGAAATCACTGATTTGATCAGCATGTGCAAGTCCAGATTTTACAAACCTCATTTCAATTTTTCACTTCGCAATAATAGATGTGCTTTTTAAGACATGATATTCACTCGCCCGTCTCTGTTAGTTAATTATATGAGCTTCACTGGGCATTCACGGAGACTGATAAAAAAGTATCTTGTTTGTTATTTTTTTGGGCCATGAAGATCGCTACAATTTGTCCCTACTTCCCATTTCACCTTGTTATTTTTTACTCATTCAATAGGGGAATATCTGAAAACTTATGGGTATAATTTTTCTTATAATTCTAAACAGACTTTTATGAAAAGGGACAGTATATATTTAATTTCTAAATCAGGTTCTTATAAATAGGGATGGAGGGAGTCTCTCTCTTTTTAATTTTAATTAGTTTAAGTGGGGGACAGCTAGCGCTACCGTAGATTAAGATTAAAGCAAATACATAATTAGTCAAAGTCATTAAATTAAATCAAATATAAGAATGATGCAATAGTGATTGAAGCCCCTCAAGTTGATCAAGTGAGTTGGTGTTGTCTTTATTAGGCAATCCCTCTAAACAAAGAAAAAGTTGGGGTTTACTTTTTTGGAAGAATAATTGTTAGATTTCAAAACATTAAATTAATTCTGACAAAAAAAATTAACAATAGTTAAATCTCAATAATTTTTTTGCAAAATTAAGTTAGAAATATTAATTCAGATAATTACACATTTAAGATTTTTAATCACAAATAAGTATTTAATTATTAAATATAATTTTTAAATTATAACAAGTATTTATGTTTGTAATTATTCAAATTGATATTTACAACTCATTGTTTAGAAATTTTTTTTAAGGATTTAAACTTTATTAAAGTTCACGTACATGCAATAATCTCTCATTGGCCGTTTTCTAAAGTGAATAACTGAATATTAGCAGGGAAAAAGAACTCATATAAATGAAGTGGATAACTGATAATTTGTTGACTGCAGGACCATTTGTGTTAACGGAAATGCTATTGGAGAGAATGATAGAAACAGCAGAGAAGAGTGGCATTGAAGGAAGAATAGTAAACGTGTCTTCAACAGTCCATAAATGGGTTAAAAGAGAAGCTTTTCAATTCGAGGACATGATTAACGGAACAAAGTACAACCTCAACGACTCATGTGCAAAATATGCTCCAGTTTGATATTGCATTAGCATAATAATAATGTTGATATACTTAACTTTTAATTTGTTTTATTCTGAATAACAAATGCAGCTTTAGCAGCGGGCGTGCATACGGGCTGTCAAAACTATGCAATATTTTGCATGCCAAGGAAATGGCCAAACAGCTAAAGGTGAGAGAAAGATCAGAATCAAGTTGCCTGATTCATGTTAATTAATTATTCGCTGGCTTCATGCCAAACTTTGATTCATGTTTTGAAAATGAAATGTTAACAACTACGTACATACAGGAAAGAAATGCAAGAGTAACTATAAATGCAGTCCATCCGGGCATGGCGATGACGGGAATTATGGGAGCTCACAAGGGTCTATTGGCAGGTTTCAGTTTTCTCAACGATCAACTTCAATTAATTTATTTTGATTTTTTTTTAAATTTATTAACTCGTCAATCTTCCTCAGGTGTCTTGCTTTTCGTCGTGTCCAAGTTTCTGAAATCGATACCTCAGGTTTGTAGGCAAATAAAAAGTTTGTAATCCACAGAATCAGAGACAAACATGCTATGAAAATAATAATAAAAAAAGATTATAGAGAAAATATATTAATGAGAGATGTAAAGAAAATGAGTATAATGTTGCAGGCTGCAGCAACGACGTGTTATGTTGCGGTGAGCCCACAGACAGAGGGGATGAGTGGGAAATACTTCTCAGATTGCAACGAGAGTGGCTGTTCGAGTTTAGCCAATGACGAATCTGAAGCTCTAAAGCTATGGAACAACACACGGTCCCTCCTTCACAAACTTCGAGCTGCAATTTGACCCCTCCTTTAATTTCCTGCACCTCTGCCCCATGTTATTCTCCGTTTGCTTTTGGCTTATAAAAACCAGAACCCACCGATGCATATCTTCATTTGAATCGTATTATTTCTGGTCAAAAGAAAATTATAAAGTTATGGATTGATATTATAGAAGGAGAGAGATCGATTGAGAGGAAAATAAACTCTATATACACTCTCACTCCTCTCTCTCTCTCTCTCTATATATATATATATGTTTATATATCCAATTATATATGTATAATAAATGTTGTATTTGTTCCCTTGATCTTCTTATTCGTAGGGAGAGAATGCCCAAAATTAGAGAAAGGATAAATGGAGAAAAATAACATTTACATCTTAACTCAAACTGCCGAATTTAGAAATATTCATACTATATTATATATTATTAAATCAAACTTTAATTTATTTAATATAAAATTTCTTATATTGACTCAAGTCCAGTCACACAATTACATGTAAACAATCTAATTGGTATCGTATATTTATATTCTCCGCGACAACAAACTAGTAAATTTCTAATGCAAAAGAAATCGTCTCAGTAACAAGAGAAGATATATACTATATAGGAATATGAATCGGTGCGAGGATTTACCTGATTGTGAAAAGTTAACTGGTAGCTAGCAAAACAACGGCCGAAGCCCGAAAGCCAATTCTTTTTTCATGAAAGGTTTTGCTCAGGCAGGGTGAGAAGGTTATTTAGCTTTCTTTATTGTCGTTCTAACTCATTGGGCTAGGCCCAATTATGGTGATTGGGCTATGATTATAAGCCCAAACAGGTCGCTAGATGCGCTTAGCAGGTGGCCTATTCATATCGGAGCTTCTCAAATGGTCAATAACTCAAGTGCACTCCCTTCAAAACAGAAATTATAAAAAATATTATATCTAAAAAAAAGAAATTATGAAACGCAAGGGGGCCAACCCTTATGTTTTCATTTTTTTTTTTTAGAGAGAGAGAGGAAGAGAGTATCAAGTTAAGACTACTCGGCGATTGTTTGAGGTTAGGAACTCATGTTAAGTTCGCATTGGGGGCAGCTTCTTAAATGATCACACTGGTTAAGTAATTTACCATTTCTTCGTGTAACTAGCATTTCGTAATTTCGAGGTAATTATATATCAGTTACTGCATTTAATTACACTTCAACCCTTCCAAAAAAAAAATGACATACCACCGTCAATATAAGGGGTAAATAATATTATATGGAACTTTGATATTGAAATTGCAAATCAATCATTGACATGTTCTTGTTTCCCGCAGACCATATTTTGATAATATTCATTAATTGATTAATTAATCAAAACATGTAGCCTAACCTACTACAATTTTGAAATATGAGGGTTCCCTGTAATTAATATACGCGCCATGTTCACCGCAAATGGCGATCGCATGTGATGATTCACGAATCTTAATTCCTCTCTTGTTGCTTCTATACATGGATTATTATATCTGTAGATTGTAAATATCTCATGTCATATAATTATTAAGCGTGAAAATAAGTCAGATCAAATCAAAATTTAAATAAACATACTTGAGCTTGCATGGCAGGCTATGGGCATGAGCCTAGCTTGAAATTTATACAAGATCAACCTTTTTTTTTTTTAATGATTTGAGTCCCAGCCTACTTAAAATCAAGCTTAAATTATAGGTCTATTTAATAAAGTAAGCCTTTAGCCTATTGATTTTGATCAGGTTTAAAGTTCTTAAGCCTATTGATTTTGAAAATTTGTTGGCATTTTGAAATCTGTCGAAAGCTTAAGTTGAATAAAATGTCTCTCTTGACATTTAATCTTCATTGTGGCATCTTAATTACATCGATGGCCCTATACATATATATAATATATTAATTAGAAGGTGGGTTTTAATTAACGTGTCTACAGACATATGTATGGAGTAATTAAAATCTACACACATGTATATAATGAAAAACGATATAATAACATGATGAATCTTCCCATTGAGTGATGTCCCGATAGATTTATATGTAAATTACGTTTTCAGTGGAGAGATATAATCGTCAATATCAATAAAAAGAACTGTGGTTGTTTGTTTAGGGCTGCACTGGGGAGCACTACTGTCTCCCCAAAATGACCAACACCAATATAATACAATTAAAACCTCTCTCTCGCCTCTACTGTCCTTCTCTAACAGTTGTTTCCAGAAAACTACTGATTATAATTCTATCCACTGCTACGTGGCTAAGAAACAGCCAGCGTTCACTCGATGGTGTTAGTGGTCTTCAAAGTAGAGAAATCCAATTAAAAAAAAAACAGTTTAATTCTACTATATATTCCATATCCTTTGAACCCCTTTTGTTATTTCTTAATGATCAACTTTAGACTTTGCAGCCGAAAGAAGAAAAGCTTGCGAGATACTCCGTATAGAAAGAAGGGAAGAACACAATTCAATAACGAAGGCAATGCATAGAAAGAAACAACAACCAAAAAAAAAAATTGAGAGAGAGAGAGACTTGGGACATGGTTAAAGACTTAAAGTTGAGCCATAAATGTTGGTCCTGGCCATTGACATGCATATGAGTAGTGACTTGTACCTCGAATAGTAGCATGAGAGTTTGGTGATGGATATAATCTGTAAATTTTTAAGTAAATGTTCTATAATTAAGTTGCGAAGTCTATCATGATCTTCCTAAACCCATGAATTCAACTCATCTAATTTTTTTCAATAAAAATAAATAAATTTAAACAAACTTGTCATGGTTTTAAGAAAGCTTGATTTTTTGTATTTACCTTAAGAAAGCTTGATCAATGCAACAATTTTTTATAACAAAATATATAAAATTAAAATGAAGTCTTTGCCTTTGATTTTATCTTTTCTGTACTCTAAAAAAGCCACGTCAAGGAAATTGAAGTGATCCAAAAAGATCATGTAAGGATAAATCAGGGTTAAGTGTCAAACGCCTTGACGTCCGTTCGTGTGGGCTCCACTTTTAGAATTTTTTTAATATTTTTTATTATAAATATTACTTGTGGGACCTGCATTAGTTTTTATATTTTTATCCTCTCTCTCCTCTCTTCCTCTCTCTGCAACTCGCGTCTACTTCTTCATCATCCATGCTCTTCTATTCCGCCATATGGTGAATGTCCTCATTAACACACTCAACTAAAGTGAAGGAAGGGCCTATGGTGGGGTTGACAGCAGGGGAGATCCTGTCAAATAATTAAGGAGCTAGTGGGAGCAATGGAAGTTGTAAGCTCAGCAGAGGGCGATGACGTCAGTATCGTCAAAGTTTTGGTCATTAAAAGCGTTGTAGAGGTCGCTGGTAGAGCTGAAACAGTCATCCTCTCCACCATTATCCTTTTGAATTCTGATGCCATACTTCACAGTGACGAAGATGGAGATGATGACTTGTAAATGCGGCAAGTCGTTTTGCTCATAGAATCTACTACCTCTCTCGTCAAGCACCAAATGTTAAAAAATTAATTGTGAACCCACTAACAGGAAAAAATGAATGGATAACGGTAGAGTAACTGAACAAAAAGCATTTGAAGACTAAAGATATAAATAACTTATAATTAAATTTAAAATAATTTATAATTTTTTATATATTTGGGAATAAAAATGATTCTTAATAATTTTAAATTAAAGAAGGATCAAATGAATTTTATAAAAGTGATCAAAGTTGATTTAAGCGGATTTTTATATGGAATAATAATGCTCATTATATTGGAATGATAAAACAACAATAAATAGTCGATGTAAAGCACGCACTTTGCTGAGTTGGATGCATGCATGCATGCTATTGCTATCGTTCAATAAAGAGTGAACCGTACTACTGCTGAGTTCTCTGTGTATACATATATATGTATGGTTCACAGCATGACACTATGTACCACTGTTTAAGCTCTTAATTATTAATCACCTCAATTATTGCTTAAAAGCATTAATCAATTCAAACACTTTGCCTCGTCCCTTAAGTCCAACGCTCATCTACCATAGTTTGATGCGTAGAAGGTGAGTTTCGTCAGATGTACCAATTAATAATGAAAATTGATATATATATATATATATATATATAAATCACTGCCATGTTCTAGTACATGTACTTCCTCGGATCCTTAATACAATTCAAGGTCAATTAACTTTGTATTTATTAAGAATTGTTAGTAATTATATCATTAAAATTTAAAAAATATATGTAACTTTTCAAATTTACAATTAATAACAATAATAAATTTCTGTTCATAAATTCAAACTATAACAACTAAACAAGGGTAAAATTAAAAAATAAAATCAATTACTCTAATCTTGCCTTTTATTAATGATTAAAAACTTTCAAAATTTTACCTTATATTAGTTACCAGCAATAAATTAATAAAAATACAAAGAAGGCAAGTGTGTCTTTGTGAGATTAATATATGTGGATCATTTTGGGAAATTGAAGTGTTATGTTTATTTTTTTAAAAATGAACATTAATTGTCTGTGAGAAATAGATGAATATTTTTTACTGTATCGGGATGCAATAAATATATGAAAATTATGTGATCAGGAAACTACTATAATGAATGTAAATTAAATCCTTTTGTTTTTTTAATTTTTGGGGAGAGCGTGGGTAATTAATTAAAGAAAAGACGAACAAGAGATGGGAGGAGCGGGTGCGGAGTTGAGGTCATGAAGACGACACAGAACCTCACCGAGAGAACACAAACATGCATTATTTGGAAGTAATGATATAGGGCTTGAAAAGCACTAATCAAAACCGGCATACAGAACAAGGCTTTCCTACGTCTCACCTAAATTAGTTGGTTTTAATCAAAGGGAAATAAATAATTAAAAAAAAAGTGGTTGCGATGCATTTTGTCTCCAATCGGATATTGCAATCAAAACAGTTGCACTAGCAGATAAATAACACCTCAAGTTGATGTGTCTGGTATGGTTCGAATACAATCAAAATCTAAGAAAAAAAAAAAACCCGTAAACTTATTGAATTTGGAATATGTGGTCTGTTTTTGACAGGAGGTCCTTCAACTGTGGATGATAATCCGTGCGCGCGGCCAATTGTTCCCCCGGGCACTGCTCATGTATTGTAATTTAGTAGTAATGAGCAATGACTTTTGGCACAAAAAAGATCGGTCACTGACGGCGCTCTAATGAATTAAATTCATTCATGAGAATTAGAGTGGGAATAAAAAAGTGAGTATAATCCATAATCATGTAGAATTGAATCTGCATCTGGCGGCGAGGTGCGACCCCAGTCACTTGGGCAAATAAGACGTTGTCGTTTTGCAGGGGATGGACATGGAGGAGGGTGGAGTGACTGGAGTCATTGGATTCAGCGATGCCTCCCCAACTAAAAGTAAACCGTGAATATGTTGATTGGGGGTCGTTATAGATAAATAATGTTTTTTTTATTCCACCTCTTCTCTATACTAGTACAATGTAAGTCATTTTTTATAAATATTTTTTAATCCAAAATATAAAGGACTGGATAAATTTTAAATTTTTTAATCATTTATTTCTTTTTTATGTTTCTTATTTTTAAATACTGCATATTTAAAAACTATGCCCGTGTCAACGTTTCAGCTAATATGTTTTTATAGAGAGTGAATAAATTATTAATGACATGTATTATACTTGGAAGAGTCTTTTAACTCTCACTTTCTTTCAAGAAAAGAGATCCCGTACATCTCTCAGCACAGAACACACCCACAGAAATGAAAAATAAAAATATTTGAAATGACTTGTATTAAAGTGTAAAGATCATGCGAGTAGAAGTACAAACACTTAAAAAGAGAAGTCCAGGAGAGAACAGAAGAGAGGGGAAACGGCGGAAGATGATGAAAACGAGAGAAGGTTTAGAGTGGCGGAATGAGGTCCCGTCTGACGTGGGCCACAACGCCCAACGGGACCATCCTCCCTCATTTTCCCCCCAATAATTACTTATTCTTATTCCCATTGCATCCGTTAACCTCTTCCCCTCATGTTCCCTACGCCTCTATGCCTATTCACCCCTATCCTAAATAACACTACTCGTCTCACTTTTCTTTTCTTTTTTTAATCTTTTTTTGTCTGGGAGCTACTTTTATTCCATGATTTTCATTCTATTAGTTTTCTTGCATTTGATGATTGCATTACTTCTAGTATCTCCCGATATACACTAGATAGTAGATAATATATGTAAATATTCTAATATATACGCAATATACAGCGATCGAAGTCAATAATATATATGAATGTACAATTAGAAAATGAATGGAATATAATTTCAAATTAAACTATACTAATATAAATACTTATTAACTACAGTAAAATAAACAATAAACATGGGATAGTGTGAGAAGCACTCTCATATGTCGAGCCTACGTGGCAGTAAGTTGAAAGGAAAAAAGTATTGGGAGGCGCGCGCGCGGGGGGCTTGTAGTGTGAATGCTTCGCACATAGTTAGAATGCAATGGATAAATGAATATGTCGTTAATATTGTTGAGAAGAGTATGAAAGAGAGGGGGAGCGCAAAGGACGCAATCAGGGACGTCACGAAAAGGAAGGAGTATGGAAGTAACACCGGAACAGTGCAGAATTGATTGGGAAGAAACTAGAAAGGAAAGGAGAGGGGGTCGGCGGTTGTGGATGCCAAGGAAAGCTCTCACTTCATCAGACAACGACGTCGTCGGACGTCGGGGACATGGCCGCCTCCCCTTTCCAATCCTTTCTCGTGTGAGCCCCAGCCCCCCGTCCTGCCTGGATTCCCCCATCGCTACGCTTTCTTCTCATTTTCATTATTTTATTATATACTAATCCCCATCACGCTCTGTCCATTTGAAATCCATATCTCTGTCTTCCTATATTCCACTCTCCACCCCCAGTTTCTCCTCCCGCTCCGTCACGTGACTCTCTCCCCACATACTAGTCACTACTTCTTCTAACCTAATTAAATAAATATTTCCTGCTAACTATACCTTCTTCATATTTTAACATCCAATAAATTCATCTCGATTATTATAACTGACTTCTCTCTGTTTTCTTTTCCCTATCCCTGTCTCCCTTAATATAATTCTTTCACAATTAATAATCCATCACTGACTCATGAGTCATGACTCGTGAGTAAGTGCTAAATTGTGAGCCATTAATTATCGGTTTATACATGGGATCTTTCTTCCGGACAATTGGAAACGACATGGTTTAAGGATTTAATTAAATCCCTGATAAGGGATTGGCAGGAGGAGCAGACATGGTCATTGTTCCCATCACGAAAGGACAAGTATTGTAAATATGGACTGATGGAGCGGCTTGATATTTACGGTCACTCCCCCTATTTTACTTATCGTCCTTTCACAAGGTTTTGTTCCTCCGCAATTCCTTTAATTAGAATTATCAGTGCTTGGTGCTTTAATGTGTTTTCTTTCCAGCCTTTTGAAAAAACCGATCCTATGAAAGGTTAAATCTAATTTCGTACTTTGACAACTGTACAAACCACGCAGAATTACCTTTTCTTCCCCACCAAAACCACAGAAAGCGCAAAAGCTTATCTGCTCGTGCCTCTTTGGTTCGCTGGTCAGACGCTGCCAAAGCGCCAGCGCCAAATTTAAAGAGATACTATAAAATTAAAATCAATAAGGTAGGCTGGTTATGTATGTTCCTTTAAAGCGACATAAAACCACTAGTTTAATTATTCGGCCATCTAATGAAGCAATCCTTTTTTTTTTTTTCCTGAGTGAGAAATGGGGGTTCTTTTTAATTAGTTGAATGCTCGTACCGTGAAAATTATAAATTTGTCTTTATTTCATATGGAAATGGTAACTTTTGGCCGCAAGAGTCGAAGAGGTTAAAATGATGCATCATTAACTAATCCAAATAAGCTTCGTCGCAAATCCATTCAATACAAAAGCAAGTCAGAATCAAAACTAGTTGGCCTTGGCTGAATCTGTCGCGGACAAAATCCACTCTTTGCCCATGTTTGTATCCAACTCTTCTCAATATGTAGCGGAAAAATCCAATCGAAAATGAAAGATTATTTCACGTAAGGCCACATACAAAAAAATAACCAGTTGATATTAAAACAAATTTTCCGAAGGAAGCCATCCACTCACCCACCCCATCCCTGTTGCTCACTTCAAATCAAAACTTACGAGTCACAATAAAAAGAAAGGTTATAATTCTTCCCTCCACCCCTCACTTCTCAGATCAGCATAAACAAACGCCAATAAAAAACTATCAAACGCTCCATTTCTCTGTGCCCAAACATCATGGCCTTTGGCCTACCTGTTCTTAGATCCGGAGATTCTGGGTTTTTTTAACTTGTATATATATCTTTTATTTTAACGTGGCACTAGCTCAGAAGACATGTTTTGGTTCCTCACCGTTGTTCCTCCCTAGACCCAAGTCTCTCTCCCCTGTTCTGCGTGTCACTGGAGTTCGTAGCATTGTTGTAATGCCTGTAAATCCATGGACCCTCCTCTGCCTCTGCTTTTCTCTTTCACTTCATCATTCTTTTCTAGCTTTTGCAGTAAACTCGCAAGGAGAAGCTCTTCTTTCATGGAAGAGAACCCTCAAGGGATCCCTGGAGGTGTTGAGCAATTGGAATCCAAATGACAGTGCACCATGTGGCTGGTCTGGAGTTAGCTGCAACTCCAACAACGAGGTTGTGGAATTAGATCTGAGGTATGTGGATTTGGTCGGAACACTTCCTTCTAATTTCAGCTCGTTGCTTTCCCTGAACAAGCTAGTCCTAACGGGAGCGAACCTCACTGGTACGATTCCGAAAGAAATAGGCACTCTTGGCCTGCTCGACCTCTTGGACTTAAGCGGCAATGCCTTGACTGGTGAAATTCCAAGTGAACTTTGCTTCTTGTCAAAGCTTGAGCAGCTCCATCTGAACTCAAACCAGCTCGTAGGTTCGATTCCGAGTGCAATCGGGAATCTCACAGAGTTGGCGTTGCTGGTTTTATATGACAATCAACTAGGTGGTGAAATTCCCAGGACCATTGGTAACTTGAGGAACCTGCAAGTGATCAGAGCTGGAGGAAACAAGAACCTTCAAGGCCCCTTGCCACACGAAATTGGCAACTGTACCGACTTGGTCATTTTGGGTTTGGCTGAAACTAGTATCTCAGGTTTTCTTCCTCCAACTCTGGGCCTTCTTAAGAAGCTTGACACTCTTGCAATTTACACTTCACTTCTCTCTGGCCAAATTCCTCCCGAACTTGGGGACTGCAATGAGCTTCAGAACATTTATCTGTACGAGAATTCCCTATCAGGGTCTATACCAAGTAGGCTGGGAAACCTTGGAAACCTCAAAAATCTTCTACTATGGCAGAACAATCTAGTTGGCATCATCCCGCCGGAGATTGGAAATTGCGACCAACTATCCGTCATTGACATTTCGATGAACTCACTTGTCGGAAGCATTCCCAAAAGTTTTGGAAATTTGACGTTGCTAGAGGAACTTCAACTCAGCGTCAATCAGATTTCGGGTGAGATTCCAACAGAATTAGGAAACTGCCAGCTACTCACTCACGTTGAGCTGGACAACAACCTAATCACGGGTACAATACCTTCTGAATTTGGGAACCTTGGGAATCTAACTCTACTATTCTGTGGCACAACAAGCTCGAAGGAACTATACCATCTTCGCTGTCGCGTTGTCAAAATCTGGAAGCAATTGATCTGTCACAGAATGGATTGACGGGTTCCATACCGAAGGGGATATTCCTGCTCAAGAATCTGAATAAGCTTTTACTACTCTCGAACAATCTCTCCGGGAATATACCCCCTGAGATTGGGAACTGTACGTCTCTGATTCGGTTCCGAGCGAGCAACAATAAAATCACAGGGAACATTCCACCAAATATAGGAAATCTTAAGAACTTGATTTTCTTTGATCTTGCAAGCAATCGCATTTCAGGATTCATTCCAGAAGAGCTCTCAGGCAGTCGGAATCTAGCGTTTCTGGACATTCATTCCAACTTAATATCAGGAAGCTTGCCGGAAAGTCTCAGCCAGCTAGTCTCACTTCAATTTATTGATGTCTCCGATAACCTAATTGAAGGTAAACTAAACCCGAGCCTGGGCTCCCTTGGCGCACTCACCAAGATCGTTCTCAGAAAAAATCATATATCCGGATCAATCCCGAATGAATTTGGTTCTTGTACAAAGCTGCAACTATTGGACCTTAGTAGCAATGAACTCTCTGGCAAAATCCCAGGCAGTCTGGGGAGCATTCCGGCACTAGAAATCGCGCTGAACCTGAGCTGGAATAAGCTCTCTGGTGAGATCCCTAGGGAGTTCTCGGCATTGAGCAAGCTGGAATTCTGGACTTATCGCACAACAAGCTCACCGGTAGCGTTCAGTATCTCGAGGACCTTCAAAATCTCGTGGTCCTCAACATCTCATACAACAATCTCTCCGGTAGCGTGCCAGACAAGCCTTTCTTCTCAAAGCTCCCTCTCAGCGTCCTCGAGGGAAACCCGTCGCTCTGCTTCCCCGGCAACCGATGCCCAGGAAATATTTTCAAACGACCAATTCGGCGGACAAAGGCGGCGCGTATAGCCATGGTGGTCCTTCTGTGTACGGCGTGTGCACTTTTCCTTTCGGCCTTATACGTCGTCGTCGCAGCAAGAAGACGGGGGTTCCCGGAGGACGGTCTGGACCTCAACGGTAGAGATAGCGACGTGGAGATGGGCCCCCCTTGGGAGTGACACTCTATCAGAAGCTAGACTTGTCAATCTATGACGTGGCAAAATGCCTAACAGTTGGCAACGTGATTGGGCGCGGACGATCCGGCGTCGTTTATAGAGTGGATCTCCCGTCGGGATTAACGATCGCCGTGAAAAGGTACAGATTATCGGAGAAATTCTCGGCCTCTGCATTCTCCTCGGAGATTGCCACCCTAGCAAGAATCCGGCACCGGAATATCGTACGGCTATTGGGTTGGGCGGCGAACCGGAAAACGAAACTACTGCTGTACGATTATTTACCGAATGGTAATTTGGATACCCTCTTGCACGAGGGGTGCACCGGGTTAATCGAGTGGGAGACTCGGTTCAAGATAGCATTGGGCGTGGCTGAAGGCTTGGCTTACCTGCACCACGACTGCGTGCCGGCGATCTTGCACCGGGACGTGAAGGCGCATAACATTTTGTTGGCAGACACATGCGAACCTTGTTTGGCAGATTTCGGATTTGCTAGATTGGTTGACGACGATCAAAGTCCTTTTTCTGTTAATCCACAGTTCGCGGGTTCTTACGGCTATATTGCGCCAGGTATGTTAATTTTCGTTTTTGTTATGAGCAATCGGGGGCATAACGAATACGGGGAAAAGAGCAGGAGACAAGTTTGGCTAACAGATTGATTTTATTTTTAGGGAATGTTTTCCAGAATAGCATACAGATTTAAAGTTAATTGGACAAGCTAACAAGTAAACTCAACATATTACTATATAGGCACACCACACATATAAGATAAGCATTGTATACGCCATCATCTGATTACGGGACAGTTGTGTTCTGCTTTTGACTCGTGCTTTTCATTAATCTTCCCCCCCAGCCCCCCCGTCCCCAACTCTTATGTTAAATGAAATGAAAAATTCGTGCAAAATTAGTTTTTTCCTAAACAAATTTGAAAAAAATAATGATTAGTTTTTTTCTCCACAGGAACATCACACAGGAAGATAATGGTTTTGCAAAAATTATAATGAAAAACTTAATTTGAAGTCTTAACTCACCCTCACCGTTTAAAGACTTTTGATTTTGGCACGAGTCAATGAGAAAATCAGTATAGCAAACAACCTAAAATCCATGAACCATAACGATAACTTTTCCTTGTAAGTTAACGATGAATCTAATTATTGCAAGGTTTACCAGGCATTATAAATTTTTCTATAAATTCATTTAATAATAATAATAATAATAATAATAAGGAAAAAAATAATTTTTGGTCCCTATATTTTGTTATTGACCCCTATATTTTTTTTCATTATTCTAGACCCCCTGAATTTTTTTTTATTGTTTTAGATCTCTATATGAATAAAGTGTGAGAATCTTAAAAAAACTTAAAATAATGAAAAATAAAAATATGGGAATTTAAAATATAACAAAAATGTAGAGATCAAAGTTATGATTTTCCTAATAATAATCATTACAATGGAGATGAATATAGAATGTGGCCCTTTTTTGTTTTGTCGGGTTAACAAATGTGATTGATGCATGAACCATATGCTTGGAAGTTGAGAAGAGTGGGAGGGGACCGTACAGTGAAGCTGAAGAGAAGAATTGCACAGTCATATGATGAGAGTTTGGTGGTTTTGCTTTTGGAAGTGTTCGGAATTTGGACTCATGACGCGAGTACAAACTCTAAATAAAGCACTGCCAGGAAACACATTCCATATGCAAAGCATAATAATGGCACACAATCTAGGCTTTTGGGACAGCCACTGGACATGACAACCTCCCCGTTTCGTGCTCAAAAGCTCAAAATTAAAAATCATTCATTCATGCATCGATCATGCACGCACGTACTAACACTCCCATCTTCAATTATTCCAGACATATCTGATCTCTCTTTGTTTCTGCTGGATTGCAGAATATGGATGCATGGTGAGGATCACAGAGAAGAGCGACGTGTACAGCTTCGGAGTGGTACTGTTGGAAATAATAACGGGGAAAAGGCCCGTGGACGCATCATTCGGGGAGGAGGATCAGCACGTGATAGGGTGGGTGAGACAGAAGCTGAAGATCAGCAAGACGGACCCAGCGGCGATTTTGGATTCTAAGCTTCAAGGCCTTCCAGACACTCAAATCCAAGAGATGCTTCAAGCCCTCGGGATCGCTCTCTTGTGCACCAGTCAGCGTCCCGACGATCGCCCCGCCATGAAGGATGTTGCCGCATTATTGAGAGAGATTAAACACGATCCTTCCCTCTCTGATCAGGCCCACAAGCCTGTCGATTCCATTCCCCCGAAAACGACGCCTCAGCCCTCGTCGTATTCCTCGTCCTCCGCCTTGTCCCTGCTTCAATCCTCTTCCCTTTCATCCACCTTGCCCGCTGCTTATTCTTCTTCCACTCTCGCCGTTTATCACCCACCTGCCGCCAATAATTAATTATTGTATTAGCCATATGTAGTGTTAGAATATTATTATTAGAATTGTAAAGCTTCTTTGACGACTAGTGTAAGCGAGTGTGTTGTTGTGTCGGCCATTTTATTTTATTTTATTGCGCGAAAGAAACGATGAGTGTACAGCAACTTGGTACTTAATTAGTTGGCGTCATTCCATTTCTCACCTGCAAGACCAGCCTTGTTGACTTTATACACTCCTTGATTGTGCAGTCATTTTACAATCGGTCACCTGTCAGGTGAAAGAAATGATGTGTGGTAAGAAACAAGATATATCAATAATATTCGATGAAAAACAAAGAATAACATTCCCCAGTATCCCATTTCTTGTAATAATGTTAATCTGAAAATTAGGGTTGGATTTTGCAAAATAAAAAACCTTAAGATATAATTAATCTTAATAAAAGCAGCCTACTTAAACCCTAACTCTTTAAGAAACAACTCTTTGAAGTCAACTAGCTTTAATTGTTAGTTCTAGTCTTTCAAGCATTTGTTTGTTTGTTTAAAGAAGGATTGGAGCATAGCATTGTTGCAAACACATTAAGTATATGCATGCCAACAGATGCAGCCATATGATGTAGTAATGACCTTTGCCACGTACATCCTAATTTATAGTATATTAAGTGGGAATGAAATTATTAGCAATATCACATTTTATACAAAGAGAAATTAATTATAATATATTTTTTCTAAGATTGAACCAGGACCAGATTTGTTCACAATATGAATCAAAATAATATTTTTTTAAAAATTTAACTGTGCTATTTTTTTTTGGTGACATCAAAGAAGGCAGAGATAGTAAATAGTAAAAATACGAGAATTGGAATAATTTATTGGAAATCTAAAATTTAGAGTAAAATATTTTGACTTTTTTAGTAATTATAATTATTATATTAAATTCTCATTTCATTAATTTAGGTAGAAAGAGGTAAAAGGAAAGGAAGGCGCGTGTTATTTATATGATGGACATCAATTTGCGGGTATAAGAAAAGGAAAGTATGTTCGGCTAATAGCTTATTGTCTGGGTTGAACCAACCGCATTGGCCCACGCCATGTGAAGCTACTTGGGGGCATTCAACTTCAACATTTCCAGCGAGTCGACCCCATAACCTCTTCCTGTATTATTAGCCCATCCTCATCATATTCAACATGACCGCCTATCTCTCTTTCGAGCCTTCTAGATTAAGTTTTCATACCTTCTTTTTAAATTAAATTTACTCAAGAGATCCGTGACACTGACCCGCACAAATTTCTTATATTGCCCTGCATTCCTTCTTTTTTAAATTAAATTTATATATTGTATACTTCAACGGCGTTTCACTGGCTCTTGCAGGGATCACAGTTCCGTCTTTGCGTTGATCCTGTGGTGTCCTTCCGAGTTCTGATCGCTCTCACGTGAAGCACTTGCAGATCTAGTCATGGGATGGGTATCCATTGTTTTTTCAAATTTAGTATCATTATAAAGAAACACCCATCTAGTGAGATACTCACCTAGTAAAATAAAGGGTTGTTGTTGTTGTTGTTGTTATATAAAGAAACACTGAAACTCTGAACTAAATAAAGGAAAGGAAAAACATCGCCAAAACATGAACAAACAAACAACGGAAAGCAAGAATGAAAGATTCCATTGTAACATTGCTTCTGCGGTTTCATCTCCCATAGTAAAATGACATTCAATTTGCAGTAGCATGGACGCGGAGAACGATTGATGTAGCTTTATCAGGACACTGAAAAGAAACACTGAAACTTTTCTATTACAAGCTTCAAATAAACACAAAAATTATTGTCTTTTTTTTTTTTGCCTGCAAAATTGTCGTCATTGATAACTCACATTCCTCAACCTGAACACGATTCATCGCATTACCTTTCCTTAGCCAAATTTGTGGAGTTCTTTATTTTTTGGTACAAAATTGGCAGAACTGGTTTAACGGGTTGTTCTAAATCGGGCGTAGCATTATTCAGCGAGCTCATGAACTTGGACTCAATTGAGTTGTAGGCCCAATAGAAGCAGCCCTTACTCTTTTGGGCCCATGACCAAAAAACAGACAAGTTTGGTTTGTCCTTCCCCTTCCCGAAAAGACTAACTAGTACCTACCCAAAGCTTGAGTCTCTGACGAAGACATAGAAACTATAAACTGTTCTAGTGTTGAGTGAGGTCGAGACCCGGCATGGATATCAACATAGGAGGACACGTAGAGAAGGTGAATGGAAGAGAATTGACTTATCGGGAATTTGTGAACCGATACATGGAGAAGAACCAGCCCGTGGTGCTCACAGGACTAATGGACGATTGGAGGGCTTGCAGAGACTGGGTCACCGATAATGGCCAACCCAACCTTAAGTTTTTTTCTTCCTCTTTTGGGAGTTCTAAAGTTCAGGTATCTATCTATCTTTCTCCAAGGTCCGACATTTCAGAAAGCACGAAAATTGTGTGTGTGTGTGTGTGTTTTTTTTTTTTTTTCTTTTTCTTTACTCTTCGCCTCCCTCTCTTTTCTGGAGGATGTTTAATGAACGGAGTTAATTACTACTGAAGATTGAATTATATGAGCAAATGATATAACAAGTCTGAGACGCTGCATTCTCTTGATTGAGTGGAACTCGGAACTCATTCTACTGGAAGCATTTCAGCTTCAAACTTGCCAATTCGGAAAATTAAATTTTACTCAAGCAGGGAATACATTGTTTTGTTAGCCCTCTGCATCGCCAAACTTGTACCTTTAAATCTCAATTCTTGTGTAATATTTCTCTCACTTATTTCTCGATCATTATGTTTCAAAAGTTTAGTCGATCAGGAAAGGAAAAAAGGACCAGCTGTTGTGCCTCATTTTTCTTTAACTATATAGTAATAGGTTTCAGTTAATAGAAAAAAAAAAAAACTAAATACCTTATTGTTCAGTAATATCCGTGTTACAAAGGTTGCAGATTGTGGCACTAGAGAATTCACGGATCAGAAAAGGGAGGAGATGCGTGTTTCAGATTTTATCATGCGTTGGCTAGAGCGTTATCCAGTACAGCCTAATACTGAAAATCAGACTAGCAATGATCATTGCTCTGTGCTGTATTTGAAGGACTGGCACTTTGTAAAGGTATTCGTGCGACCTTCTGCCATCATCCTTCTATTTCTTCCCCTCTGTTGATTAATGATTTATGATTAATGAACTTGATATGTTAAGCATGACATAGAAGAAATTCGACTCTAGATGTAGGAAGTAGGAACTAGTACAATTAATCAAATATCACTAATCATGCAACTGCGGGCAAAGATTTTCATGCTTCTATGGCTGATTTTAAGGCACTTTCCAAGTCGCTCTAGGGTGAAAGCCTGGAGTGTAGCTCATGAGACCCAGCCAGAAAATTGAAGTATTAAATGCCAAAATTACAACAACAGAGTAAAAGAAGGGAAAATCCTGAGGTTTTGATATTAATAAACCAAAAGGAAACTGAATCAGTGTTACAAAGTCATTCACTGATTCTGTTCAAAACCCTATCTCCCCTAATCGAAATACAGCAGTATCGGAATAAAGCACACTCACAATGGCCTCACCACTTCTAGCATTCGAGAGGCCAGTCTCTCCCTCACTGTTCTATCACCAAGACATTCTACCCTCCCATTCCAGCAAAAGACTACTAATAGTTACAGATGGCATCCCTACAGCCCATACTGCCAAAAAATTTGTAATCATAACATAAGATCATAAATCACTGTTCCTTGGTAGAACCGAAGGATAAACATTTGGACCAATCAAAGTGTTTCCACTTGAGTCATTTATCTTCTTTGTTTTCCTCATATACGTCGTAGGAAAATTACAGGCTCTATCAGTAGCTTACTGGGAATAGGCACCAAAAGCGTTCTGGTTATGATTTCCTGTCACTTTCAGTGATTGATGATGCTTTTGGTTGAAACACCTTGTATTGGTACTATTTTAAAATGAAACTTGCTATCAACATAGTCTGGGAGCTCAAAACATGTTTATACTGATGAATTTTGACTGCTTTAAGCTTTGACTTTGTTTCTTGAATTGCATTTCATTTCCAATTTGTTACTGATGCAAACTACCTACGTGGTAAAGGTGTGGCTTCGTTATATAAATTATACTGTTGGAAGACACATCAATACTGTTGATTTGTAGTTTTATTGCCAATTCTGTTAGTTGTTATCTGGCTTACATATTTCTGGTTGTTTGTAAAATATGGTCAGGAGTATCCGGAGTATTTAGCATACATCTCTCCACTGTTCTTTCATGATGATTGGCTCAACCTCTACCTCGACTACTACAAAATGCATACAGATCCTGACAGTTATCAACAAAATAATGAAATATGTTGCTCTGACTATCGATTTGTTTACATGGGGGTAAAAGGTTTGTGCTTACTGCTGAGATTTAATATTTCTTTGCGGAATGAATTGATACAAGATCATTCTGAATTTCCTTTTGGAAGAGTGGTCTAGTTTCATTTGATTAGTTTTATGGATTACTCAGCAGTAACCCCTAGCTCTCTATTCTTCTAGCAGGATCTTGGACTCCTCTTCATGCCGACGTTTTCAGATCATATAGTTGGTCAGCAAATGTCTGCGGGAAGAAGAGATGGCTTTTTCTAGCTCCTCCTCAGAGTCATCTTGTATTTGATAGGCATGACTTGATTTGTTTTGCCATATAAAAGTTAAGAACTTTGTTTCTAAATATGCAGTTGGGCACTTTGGTCACTGGTCAAATCGCTGATCCATTGAAAAATCATTACTAGATGAGTTAATTTTCCTCTGTATTTTATTTCCCCCAGTCACCTTGTCCTAACTTTCTGACTGGAATGATGATTTCCCTCCATAACTCCCTATTTCTGCCGCCTCAATGATTATATAATCTTATGATGTACGAAAGAATGTAATTGAAGCTACGTATTTATATTAAGAACGCATGGATTTCTTTGCTTGATTTTAATGTCTCAAGTCTGATTCAGGAATGTGAAAAGTTGCGTGTATGATATCTTTGCTGAAGTAAGTGAATCAACGTTTCCTGGCTTTGGAAAGGTAACTTTGCAGTTTTAATTTTGACAGAAATTTTCCTGATCCCTATGCTTCTTTGCTTCAATGGGTTTCTTACACATGCAGACTATCTGGTTAGAATGCGTGCAAGAAGCAGGTGAAATTATTTTTGTTCCCAGCGGATGGTATCATCAAGTTCATAATCTGGTATCTTCTGATTCCCAATGTAGATTGCTCTTATATTCTGATGGAACCAGGCTGATTAAGTATTGTTCTAGTAGATAAACTACCTATTGTGCCCCAGTTAAGCCTAGTTTGTTACTTTTCTTTCTCCTTGAATAAGTTTATTATATAAGGCCACATCTATCATGTTCTCACTTGATTTTGGAAGGCTGCCCGACATTAGGATCCGTGTCTGACGGTATTGACATTGTAAAATTTTGGAAAATATAATGGCTAATTGATTCGTTGCATTAGATTTTATAAACAGCATATTGCTTGGAGCAAAAATGGTAGATCACATGAAAGCGGGGACCTTCAGAGCAACTTTTAGATTTTGATCTATGTTAGATTCCTGAGTTAGCTGATTCTGTCAGATATATTAGGTATATGACCTGATTGATTGATGATTCCTTAAGCTTTCAGGAGGATACTATATCTATAAACCACAACTGGTTCAATGCGTATAACCTTTCTTGGGTGGTAAGTTGGTCATTTTGCCATTTCCGTCTAGTTCCAATTCGATAAAAACCTTAATGATTAAATTCAATTAAATTATTTTTGTTAAATGAAGTTTCATGCTGTGACAGTGGAACTTGCTTTTGAGCGACTACAATGAGGCCAAGGAATACATTGAGGACATCAGGGATATATGTGATGATTTTGAGGGTCTCTGCCAGCGCAATCTTTTTGCTAACACAGGTGCACTATATAGTTAGTATGTTAGCCGAGTACTTGGATGAATTACATGTTCAGGCCAGGCAGTTGGATTGTACATTTGATGGTTTAGCTGACTTCTACTGTTTTTTCTTTTAAAACAGGGATGAACTTTTATGACTTCTTTACTTTCATAACATGCTTTACCCTGGCCAACTTGGCATTGCTTTGCTATCTAAGTGGAAAATATGGAAACACCCCTGAAAGCTCACTGACAATGACTCAACATTTAGTTTTAAATCTTGGGTCAGTAAGGAAGGTTGCATTAGAGATGAAAAGCAAGCATGCTCTGGATGGAAATCATGACTGCTTCCTGGACATTATGAAAATATCTGAAGACCCTAGGTTTTCTAAATTGTGTGCGCATTTGAGAAGAATATTTGTGACGATACATGAGCAGCCATATTTGTCTTCTGAGTTTGACAAATCTGCAGTTGATTATCTGATGGGCCTTAATGTTTTGCAAACATGCTCTTCTTCTCGGATCTACGCACCTGAAGATCTCATTGAACTTATAGACAATGCTGTTGGGGAACTCGGTGACAATTACACTCGGGAGCTGTCTGCTATACATGCTGGTTGAATGCCCTGTTGAGGATCCTGGCTTCGGCAACTAATTGCACTTCACCTTGCATGCAGGTTGAGCTAAAAGTGTCACGATCACTTCTGCTCCATTTAGTGTTAAACAACTTGTCTCTTTGTTTTAACAACATGCTTTTCCTTCATAATAATTCCTCCATTTTCCTTTTTTGGTCCATTGTCTTCCAGATTTTCCGTATATTCAGGTTTCCCCTCCATATTAAACTAAAATAGAGATTAACTTTCGCCCCGACTACAAATACTGCCAAGCTGTATCGAGTGCAATACTGATGGGGATATTGTCGATATGGAAACTTGGAAGCAGGGTTTCTTCTGGAATCATCATTACCTAGAGAGACTGTCTTGGACGCCTTCTTTGACTGCGTAAAGGAGGTTTAGAATGTCTCCCACGCCAAGGAGTGGGGTCTGGGAGTTCTCTGGGACCTCTTTGACGTTTACCTTTCACAAGATGGGAGACCTTGGTGACTGGGGGTCCCCACCACCTGTGGTTTGCTCCATTTAGTATTGTTTATCTATATCCATGATCATGATGCACCCCAAGTTGTAGCGTTCTAGGGTAAATACAGTATTTTATTGCTTTTTTTTTTTATTACAGTATCAGAACGATCATTTATTCCTTGAAGAGAAAGCATTTACTTTTCGTCTGTCATGAACCCCGGTGACTCAGTACAGATGAGGAAAACAAAGAACGGTAATGAGTGAATGATGCGTCCACTTCCGCTATTTTTCAGAGTAATTACTGGATCAGAGGTTGCTTGTTCAATAATTCACTAGCAGAGCTGATCACGAGCTGTGCCTCAGAATTTGAGATGATATAAAATAAAATGTAAATGACAGAAGTAGTTTCTCATCTAACAACGAGGTGCTCTTTCTCTTGCTTGATGTGCGGGAGTATCTTTTTCCAAGACTTGCCAGTTGAAATCAGCAGAATCTCCAAGTGCCCAACTACTTCTGCCACACGTTCCAGGAATCTGTTTAGACCAAACAGCCATAGGATTGTAGGTCAGTGTGCTTTATTCTTCAATGAGGAATCGCTTAATGGCTTCGGTTTCACGCATAGAAGCGTCAATTCCTGCGTGCCATTTAAGTCGCACTGGGATGCCACTGCCGCGAGCACTTGGTTTTGCCTACCTTTTTTCGTCTTTGTTGCCCCGTCCCTCTCGTTTACAAATTAATACGGTAGAATTTCAATAAAAACTTTTTAATCAATCTTATTTAAATTTAAAATTTACATTTTTAAATTTCACTGCATTATAATGATATTGATTTGATATTAATTTTTAAAAAAATAATAAAATTATCTTTTATTTAAATTAATATTAGAACTTATTCGCTTATTCATTTTCTTATGTAACGATATTAATTGCTTATTTCATCTGTTCATTTCTTGGAATGAAATCAAATAAAAGTTTGGCAATGAATAACATACGGTATAGAAATCAACAAATTATTTTAAGATGATTTAAACACCTAAAATAAAAATAATTTGAGTAAGGTAATAAATAATATTCTGTAAGTAAATTAACAAGTGAAGTAAAAAAAATTAATATCAATTTGAAATGGGAGAAAATTTTGTTATTTTCTTAAAAATTTAATATCAAATCAGTATTTTTGGATTGCGATGAAATTTTAAAATTTTGGAAATTTGAATTTAAACAAGTACGGTCCAATAGTTTTTATTGAAATTCTCCCAAATAATATTGGCGGGTAGGAAAACTAGTTTTCCTTATGTTAATAACATAGTAAAGTTGCTCTAATGCTACTAGTTGTTGGACCCCCAAAGCAAAGCGGAAGCACAGTTAGACTACTTAATAATTCCAAAAGGACATGTATAAATGAATGATATCATATTTTAATATAAAACTATGTAAGGTGTTACTTTTATAGGTCACTTGCACTTTAAAGACACCAGTCTATTACAAGTAGTTAGCTCGATAACACTTGTGGGCTTTCGAGGTGCAATTTTGGAAGAGAGGAGAACATAAATGAACCACTCAATGGTTCTAAAAGAACATGTATGAAGGAATATGACATCATAATTTAATTCAAAATTTTAAGACATTGAGTTTATAATTTTTCCTTTCATTTATTTACCTCTTTTTTAACCAATTCTTACAGATGCGAAACTTTTTATATGTCAACCCAACTCACACTTAAACATGTTAACACGAGTGAGAGGATGACACGTGACAGTAACACATGATTGAGATTCCTTTTGAACGACATCGAAGTATGCAACAGTTGGTCTGCGCGGGGCAAAAGTGCAAGATGCTATGCCGACGTAAATTGAACGTCATGAAAACAGAATTTATTGCCAACGTAAACTCTTGACCTAGGCTACATTAATAGAAGCTCGCGCCACCAGTCCACCTTGAGAAAATAAAACAATCTCGTCGATCATGACTCGCATGTTACTGACTCTCAGCTTTTCATTTTTTACGACATTTGGCTTAAGATCCACGTTTCTGGATATTTAAAACAAGACAATTTGACTTGATCAACTTAAATTATTATTAATTGTGTGTGTATATATATATATATTAAAAAAAAAAGAGCCAAGCAATTCTCTTGGCTCTCGTCGGAAAGCACGAGCATGGTGAGGAAATCCATTGTGGCCATTAATGGCTCTTGGTTTTCGCTGCATCAAATCGTTCTTCTTTTGTCTCCTGCTGCGGCTATTGTTTGCTTGTTACGCTACTGATATCCTTCTAGCTTATAGAATAGAGGATAGAAGATTCAGTTCAATGGATTAAGACTTGGAGGTTTAATTTGTTTATAGCATGATTGGTCGTTATTCCCACATGCAAAAGCCGCATATCGAGGTTATCTTAATCATATAGAAGCTCACCACGTAATTTGCATTAACAATCCAAATTGTTTTTTTTTTTTATAATACATGAAAAATGAGTTGTATTCATAGCTTGAAAATATCTGCGGCCAAAAAAGGCTTTGGCAGAACATATGGTTGCCTTTCATTACATGCATATATGAAAGAGAAAGACGAAGGAAAAGCACGCAAAATCCCCAGATTTCACTGTTGGTGGCAAACTGATTTACACGGTGACGACGGGAAAATCAAATCAAAACAAACAGCCTCTAACTCTAATTAAGCCGCTGGCAAGGAATGAGAATTCATTCGTAAAATATAGAGAAAAAAGAATATATATTTAATAATAATAGTAATGTATGGAAGATGAGGGTGAGGGTCAAGGGCATCGGATATTTCTGCCGGGGCCGCCGTAGTAGAAATAAGTGCCCCAGACATTGTTACGGCCCTGTCTGATATCATAGCAATTGGAGTGATCGGCGAGCTGGTGAATGTTGGTGAGGGGAAGAAGACTGTTGTCCCAGTCCACGACCTGCAAGTTCCTGAAATACGCCGCTTTTCTGAAGCCTTCTCCGGCGAAATGCCCGCTTCCCATCTGAGTGCCGGTGTGGTACCCTCTTGATCTTGAGTTCACTATCTCCCCTCCAAACTGTACCATGCTCGCGTGGCTTCTCAGGTGACTGAACAAGTACGCCGGCCAGTACCCTACCAGTAAACCCGACCCGAATTCCAGCCACCAGTGCCCGTGCTTCGGATCCTGCGGCCAATTTCATTATTTGCTTTAAAAATGTAGACGGCAGATATCTTTATAAATTATAAAATTGAAGAAATAACTATATAATTTTATAAATTTGAAAAAATTCACATAATTTATTTTCCGTTTTAAGTGAAATTTATATAAATTTTAAAGATGAAAAAAATACTTGACCAAATTTATGGTAACTTCATATTAATTCTAGTAATAGAAAATTTAATAAGTTCAATGCTATATATATATATATATATATGAAAATATCTCTCTCTCTCTTTTCTGGTTGTCAGTCACAGCAAAACTAAGGAAGGAGACCTGGACACCGAAAAACAAAATAAAATAGAATAAAACGAACCAAAGCAAGAAGAATACTAGTGCTTTAATAAAGAAAAAGGCAGAGTCGAGTCGAGTCGAGTCCCCCATGAGGGTCGCCGTTACAAGGAAAGCAAAGGAATCTCACAAAGTATTTAATAACTGCAAAAGCGTGTTGAAAATTGCGAAAGTAAACGAATTATTGTTTTCTTGGTACATATAACGAATTATTCTTTCACTCTCACCTTCCTTTTTCTTAAAAAAAAAAAAAGGAAACCAAACTATCTCTGAGATATCGCAACAAATAACGGTTTTAAAAGCTACAAAAAGAAAAAGAGAGAGACTTTCAAATCAAGATTAAGCCCCAAGAAAAGGCAGAAGAAAGTCACCTTCCAGACCATTAAGCCAATGTCAAACTGTCTTCCATTGTAAGCTGATCTTGGAGAGATTGCTGCTCCTATGGCTATTCTATTGTTGGTTTGCACAAAACCTGAGCACAACAAGTTGTAGCATCCAGTGGCTTGATATGCATCTGTCTGTTAAATAACAGATTCCTGTGAGAAAAGAGAAGTGGACAAGGAAACTAAGCAGCAAAGCAAAAGTCAGTCAAGAAGTCTTACAGTCCAATAAGTGAAGAACCTAGGATAGTTGTCCCCATATAGTTCTGGGCTCACCTGGGAAAAGGAAAAGAAACACATGTATTAGCCACAAAGCTAACAGGAAATAGTTATGAATTGGAAAGAAAAATTGAATATTGGGAAGCATGGACATGCCTGCCAACCAGCTTCTATGGTATTCAAATCATGACCGAAGGAGCCTGCAATGACCCATATTTGTGATAAGCTGAATTCATATTGATCCGTTACCCTCGGTGTCCACACGTTAACGCTTGCCTTTGCTCCATAATATTGATCTCCATTCACAAAAACCACTGCATGCTGCAATAACATGTATGAAAAATTGTGGTATCACTTTTTATAGGAGGCAAACTTTAAACATGTGGTGTCCCTTCATGTCTGTTGGTTATGAATTCATCTTGCACTGTTTGGAAGACACAGAAAAGAGGGACTGCTTTCCTTTTCTTTCTGGCAGATTAAAGTGTGAAAGAAATGGAAAGCAGCCTAATTTGATGAAACTGCTAGAAGAAAGACTGTTTGCTGTGTATCACTAACCTCGTGACCAGAGCCAGTTGAGTCTCTTCGTACACTTCTTGGTTTTCTTCCAAATCTACGAACGGAACTTGCTCTTAGGATGTCTTCTTCTGTTGTTCTTCTGATAGGAACAGTTCCTTCTGGGCATGATTCCCCAGAATCAGTCCATAGCTGAAAGCTCTGCGTCACATTTTCACCATTGTCTTTGCGGCCCTTTGGCCTTTCTGGTGGTTCCTGTAAACCTTAACCCTCTTACTCTCGCTGTCTCTCAAATAAAATTCAATCCTTAAAATTAATTAAAACCTTTTGTTCAGACCAAAACATATTAGCCTGCATTTTAACTTATGAATTCTGGGGATTCACTGAGCTCAAAGAAAGAGTCCTTTTGCTTTCTTACCAATGGCTTCTTCCCTTTAAGCTCAGGATGGTCAAAAGCTGGCTGCTGATGCGATAAAACACAATCTATCAAATCCCCATCTGGGCTCTGCAAATAAAAAACCCAGATCAATGATTAACAGTTCAAAGAGTTAGAAAAGAAAAATAATTGTGAAGCAGAGGACAGTTATGTGAAATGAAATGCCTTAATTGTCTTGACAGAAGGCTTGTTGATTT